TATTCTTCCATTCTTGTGATAGGCTCAAGAGGATGGGCTCAAGCTCTATCCAGGAAAATATAAGAGGTGCTAGATCACTGTCATTTTTTTTATAATTGAGTAGTATTCCATTGTATACACATACCATATTATATGAATCCAGTCATGGATTGACAGGCACTTGGAATGTTTCCATAGCCTTGTTATAGTGACATCCTTGGATTTAAACATTATAATTTCCACTGTTGGTGAATGACCTCTGGGACCAGAGCATGCAATCACTTGTCCTTTTTGTTGATATCTACATCTGAGTGCCATGTGTTCCCATCTTGGTGCCATAGTTTCATTCTCTAATTGTTGCTTTTTATTTTCTTAGGGAAGATTAACAACAGTGTTGCAGATTTGGAAAATTTCCAGGTATCTTGGGATAGATCCCTTATGCTAGGAGTCTTTCTTGATCTTTTTCTCTGAAAAAAAAAAAATAATGGCTATGAACTCAGAGTTCAGTACAGGGGCTCCTGAAAGTCATCATACATAAAGTCATCATACATAGGGAAAATGGGAAATTGAGCTGTATTTTAAATAAAGTAAAGCAAACACCTCAGGGCAGCTGTGGTATATATTTAGTGAATGATAAAAATATATACATGCTTTTTCTGTTCCTCAGCTGATAGTTTTCAGCAAAGCATATATAGAATCAATGTGTTAAAGATACAGCCTGTGGCACAGGCATAAGAAGGGTTAACTGCAATAGAAGGAGCAACTTATGTGAACTAAGACCTGCAAAGGAAGAAAATAAGGGCAAATGTAGTCAAACAAAAGGAAAATAAAATCAAGTGACTATGGAAAACCTACATGTGACCACTAAGGCATGTGACTACCAAAACCAGCAAGAGGTTTTATGATGCTGTGTTGGAACTCAGCACCCAAGAATCTAGATTTAATTAGCTTTACAGGTCCATGTTAGTGGGTCACCTGCCACTAGATTGTGTGTTACTGGAAGGGACCACATTCTCCTATTTTTCTTTACATCTCTGCTTTCTAGCACACTGCTTGACTTACAATAGACTCTTAATACCCACTTGATAAATGAGTGAATAAATGTACAAAAATAAATATATGGAAGTCTGTCAATGAATAACAATGTTCAGCCCTTCTGGATGATGTTCGAAGTAGAGGTCTGTTATCTGCTGAGCAGCCTAGAGAAGCTCATGGAGATCAAGGCAGATTGCCCGTCATTGGACAGTGATAGTAGACATGATCAAAAGAAGTACTCAAGTTGAACTATTAAGACAGTGATCTATTTGCACATCGGAGGACCAAGGAAGGAATGTACATGGTAAGAGATGTCATGTTAGAAAGGGGTCACAAGATGAGAGTGGGTCAAGAAAGATTTCCTACTGCATGCACTATGATCCTTAAACATCCCTAACCAAGCACAGAAACTTGCTCAGCCAGAGGTGAGGGTCGAATGACCTGCACTGATGAAAAAAAGGACTATTTGGCTAGGCAACTTGTAAAATCACTTAATTATGTGTTCTTTTCAAACTGTCATTAAATGTTGAAAAAAGTGTAATATTCTTAAAGTCAATTTGAATAATGCTTAAATCCCTAAAAGATGTGGAGTCTCATGCTGTCTGATTTTGATATTGTCGTACATTAAAATGAGAGCAGTCCATCATATGAGAATAAAGAAAATATTCCCAATCCTACTTACAAATCTCAAGAAACACTGCAGAGAATCCACTTCATACTTCATTTTAAAATTCTCTTTCCTCACAAAAATAAATGTTTCTCCCTCTAAGAAAAGAAAGAATGAAGTATTAAATGTAAAAAGTTGGGGAAAGGACAACAAAATAACTATAAAAAGAAGAAAGAAAAATGTATATAGTAGAAATAAATAAATTGTGAAAGAGGAAACAAAAGACAATGACCCATCCAGCCCTTGGGGAAGGCATGGGGAAAAGTAAAGAGGTGGGAGATAGGAGCTTTTGTGAGCTGGGCCAAACATCCTTGCAGTTAAATACTCACCTGGCTGCAAACAATGGCTTCTAGCAACTAGCTCTCACCCTCTCAGGGGGCCTAGGCAGGGGTTCCCAGGCCCTGTCATTATGCTGTTACTTCTTTTTTTTGGATTTTCTTTTGTTTAGATCAGACTTTTACCCCCTCCCTCTTAAGGGTGTACCTATAGTATATGCTGGGTAAGGACCATTGGCTTTACTTGTGGGTACTTTGATGGGAGTCTAGGTTTTAGATGGATACCTTGGTTGTAGGTATCATTTGTGTGGTGATTTTTCTCAATTGCTAGTTATTTGTAGGCAGTAGCAATGGTATACTATGTGCATGGGCAGATTAGCAGTCTTTTCTTGACAAGGGTAGATGTAGCTCTTTGAAACCCTATCTCGTTCCCCAGCCCTGTGGTCTTCTTAACAGTGTGAATTATATTGTGATATATAATTATTATATTATGATATTAATATCTAAGAGATTATTATGATATTATGTTATGATATTAATCTCTAAGTCTGTAGCTGGCATTTGTGGTCTGGAGTCAGCCAAGTCCTATATGATTAGAAAAGTAAATGCTGTAATGGGCTGTACAAGTTGTCCTTCCTGCCAGTGGGTGGCCCTTGCAGAAAAAAGCCAGCAGCTGTGGTGTTTTGGGGGACCTGTGACCAGTTCTAGTTGATCAACAGAAGCACTCAAATGCCCCAGGTTGTGGACTGTGCCCTGGAGCACCCAGGAGACTCCTTATTCTCTACTAAAGTCAAGGGCAGAGGAGGAGTAAGGGTGGGCAGGGTTGGATTGGAGAAGCTTGTGTTCAGACCATGGAGGGGCTGAAGAAGCCCCACCAAGACAGAAAAATTTGGTTGTTGGGGAGGGGCAGTCTGGGTTTCATAGTCTAGCAGATGGAGTGGATTTGGCCCTTCTTCTTCTTCTTCCTTTGCCCCATTGATTTCCTTCTGGTGTCTGGCTGCAAGCTGTATCCCAAACTAGCTGAACTCAGTAGAGGGCTAAGATCTTCCCTGCCCCAGGATTCTGCCCTGATCTGAAAGCACTGCTTTCCTGTGGGGGAGGGGTGATCTGCAAGTGAGGTGCAGCTTGGACCCACACTGCATTCTCCTTTTAGTTCTGCCTTCCTGGACTCCCTACCTCCCAAGATTATTTCACAAATTTCCCCTCCATTCCTGTGCCCCCAAGCAACATGATCAAAACCTGGAGGTAGGAGATCTAGCCTGTATGCCTATCCTCTGATCTCCCAGATTCAATCCCTGACCATGCCAGGAAAAGCATACTATACCAGTATTAAGTTACCCATGGAGTGCTCATGCAGGCTTATTAATGTTCTTCCATTTCAGGGTATGCCCTGCTCTGCAGAAGCAGCCAGGCAAACAGAACTGGGGAGGGCTGGTGGACAGGAGCACACAGTCTGAGCACCCTTGGTCTGCCATAGGTCTTTTAGAGGAAAGGCATGAGTCTCACTCTCTGGACCTGGGTGTGGTAGGCATATCAACAGAGGGGAAGCACATTCCTGAGAGCCCCAGCTCAATAATCTCTTGGGGTACCTGTGCCAACTCATGTGGGAACTGCCATGGCTGTATCAGCAGCTCTGGGTGGGGGAGGGGAGGAGGAGGATGAGAAGGGTCTGAATGGAGTAGACCTGGTGCTCTGGTCCCCTTTGTCCCAAGGGGCCCCCCTGGATTGCTGCACTCTCCTCTCCTCTGAAGGCAGCCCACCTGAAATGTCCAAGCTCTGGGATCACACAATTCCCCCAGGACACACCAGCCCCCTTGGACCACTGCAGTCTGGGCAGGTGTTGGGAAATATTTGCATAGGAACCAGTGACGAGAAAGCTGGAGATTCTGAAGTTCCCTGGGGAGGACAAAAGCACACAATGGGTAGAGAAGCAGTATGGTGCCCACCACCTCAGCTCAGGTCTGTGGGGACGGAGAGGAACCCCAAGGGGACTGGTAGCCCAGTGCTGTCTTCTCAAGAAGCTCCCAGTTCACTGACAGCAGCAGCACTTGGGCTCATGAGGGTAGAGGGGCTCTCTGACAGTGCAGGAGCCTGCAGTCTGCCAGTGGTGTGAGGAGAGGAAAAACAAACACCCACAGCTACTCTTTCCATGGGCTTCCCAATTTCTCAGGGCTTGATCTCTACTGATATCTTGCTCCTTCTTCTGCTCTGCAACTTCTTCCCATGGAATCTCTGCTAGGTTCTGGCTCTTTACCCTCAGAATTACACCTGGGCTATGTTGTTTTCCATCTAACACATTTCCTTCTTTCTGAGTTGATATAGCTAGCGACTGGTGTCTCTAGTCAGCCATCTTGCTTTCTCCCCAGTTGCATCATCTATTAAAACAAATACAAAGATAAAGCACCTAGAAATAAATGCTTCAGATCTATTCAGAAAAATAGTATTAAAACTCTACTATTGCACCTAAAACACAAACAAATATGAAGAACTAACCTGTTCTTAGACAAGAATGACAAATTTATATAGGTAACACAATATTTCTAAACTGTATTTTCACTATCTCCTTCATAGCAAGGTATTTTTAGACATTCTTTTCATTAATCATTTCCTCCTGTTAAATTTTAATACCACAAATATACTAAATATCTATTTATGTACTACATGTATACCTGCCTTTTACATGTAAAAAGGGTAAGTTGTTTTTCCCTCCAAGAACCTATTTTTGTCCCTTTAGGGACAATCTCACCCCTTTTGATAATGTATAAAATAGACATTCTCACTTAATTAATTCAAAACTTCAATTTCATAGCAATCAAAATATCAGCAAGAATTTTTTTTTTTTACGATTTTAATTTTTATTAATAAAATAGAAACCTAAACTCAGACAACTGCTTTGTTCTTGCATCTAATCCAACCACATTTTGGAGAAGTAATTCTTTATAAGAAGATAAAGGTGTTCTATCAAAAACTATAGATTGTAATATCTAAATTAGGTAAATAAAATTTTAAAAAGAGCAAATTAAATACTAGGAATCACAGAAATCTCTCTCTCAAATAAGAGGGGCCTCCCTTTAGTCTTCGATGTAGCTCATTTGCAATCATAAGAAAATTCACCAAGATCAATCATATTGCACAACCCCTAAAAGAAAAAACTGAGGGAGCTCATGGATAATTTTCACAGCTTCATTGTAAAGTCCAAGATCAAAAGGACGGTTATCTTCTCTAAACTGGACATAAGATGCACACATGATGGTTGCCTTGGGTGTTACTCTTCCAACTACTTCCACAATTCCAGAGATTTCTTCATCAAGAGGGTCCATCAACTCAATGGTTCCATTTTTCCCTTCTCCATCTGAAAGAATAAACATTTTTCCAGTGGGATGAATCTTTTCCAGCTTCCCTACGAAGCAGACGGGCTGGTCGATGAACTGAGCTATCATGCTGGCGTTGATGCGCGACTTGGGCAACTCCATTATGTCCACCATGATTGCGGCACCGGAACCATCAGCAAGAATTTTGACACTGATTCAAATTTATAAGACTGGCCAGAAAACTTTAAAAAAATAAGAACAATGAGGGATACTAGATTTTCTAGGTTTTAGACATGTTAGAAGAAGACAGTAATAAATAGTCTATAATAGATTTTTCAGATTAGATATTTCATAACTAGAGCTACTGCATAGTGGAATTTAATTGTGATAAAAAGGTATTATCAAACAAACAAATGGATTTGGAACAATTAACTAGAGAAGTGAGAATGGGGAGTTAGGTTTCTATCACATTCTTTACACCAAAATGAATAAGATGGCTCAAAGGTTTTATCACAAAATGAAATACCATAGAAGTAGCAGAACAAAATATAAGAGAATTATTTATATCTTCCTGAAGTGAAAGCCTGTGGAATAAGACACAAAACCCAGAAAGCATAAAATAAATACTAAGAGCTTTGCATAAAAATTAAAATATTTGCATGGTTAAAGATATTATAAGTAAAGTTAAAATACAAAAACACACCAAAATAAAATGTATTTGCATTGTACATGTTAAAAAGGCTAATATCCATAAGCTATATTGAGCTCTAATAAATCAATGACAAAAATATCATTGTTCCCAGAAAAATGGGCATCAACGCAGAAGAAAATGAAATATAAATAGCTTATAAATATGAAAGAAAACTGCTCATCCTCAAAAGAAAACTCTAGGGAGACATTGTTTTTCATGTATCAGAGTGGTAAAGGTCAAAGTATTTTATAATATAATGTGTCATTGGTAATGTGTAGGAACAGGAATTTTTACCCATTTTTACTGGGTATATAAATCAGTAAAATTATGTATAAATAAGTCTACTTTGAATGTCAATTACTATGAAATATAAAAATTTGCATACTCCTTGACCAATATTTATAAATCTAAGTATTTATACTATAGATATGTTCACACACTATAGTTAAAGACATTTTTTTCCCAAGAATGTTCATTGCAGCATTTTTGTAATGGCAAAGAATAGCTAAATATCCAAGAATATAAGACTAGTTATATGACTATGCTATATTCGTATAGCAGAATACTATGTAGCTATTGATAAAAAATGATTGTTTTTACATCAGATGGGTAATGTGCTGATGTCACAGCAAGGCTAGAGGGAGGCACAGCTCCCACATGCATCTGAACACTTGATCATCATGATTATGAACTACAAAAGGATTAAAAAATGATTCTTAAGTCATTTTAAGGAAGGGGGAAAAAACACATTTTCTGAAAGTTACTTATAATGTTATATGATGATTAATTTTATGTGTCACCTTGGCTATACTTGGTGTTTAGTTATTGGAACACTAACTTAGATGTTGCTGTGAAGGTATTTATAGATCTAATCAATTGACTTTAAGTAAGCATGTTGCCCTCTGTACTATGGGTGGATCTCATTCAATCAGTAGAAGGCCTTAAGAGCAAAACTGAATTCCTTAAAGAAGAAGGAGATCTGCCTTAAGACTACATCAACTCATACCTTAATTTCCAACCTGCTGGCCTGTCCTTAGATTTCAGATTTTCCAACCCCACAACCACATGAATCAATTCCTTAAAATAAATGTCTCACTCCTCCTTCCTTTCTCTCTTTTTCTCTCTTCCTCTCCTCTCCCTCTTCTCTCTCTCTCTCTCTTTATACATATATATACGTATGTATATATATGTATAAAGAGAGAGACCGTGTGTGTGTGTGTGTGTGTGTGTGTGTGTGTGTATAATTTCTCTGGAGAACACTGACTGATATGGTATGTTATTATACCTTCTAAAAAAACTTGTTCCTATTGTGATTATATTAATATAATATACTCAGTGGACTGTCTCTGGTAAAACACTCAGAAGAGTGGTAACAGTAGTTGTATAAACTTGTTACCCAAATTTTGGCTCCTAGCAAGGCAGCATCAAGTGGGAATGAGTTAGAAATATGGACCTTCAGTCTCCACTCCAGACTCATGGAACCAGAAGGTGCATTTTAACAAGATACAGCCTTTGGGAAGCACAAAGGGAGCGGGCCTGGGAGATGTGGATTCAGAGGGAAAATGGCAACTTCTTCAGCCTGGACCTCCATGTCTTGGCTGAACTTTCCTCTCTTCCCAGTCCGCAGTCCTCAAGCCCCCTAACTTGCCCGGCTGAGGTATGCCACCACTCCCCAGCCATTGTCCTTTCTTACTCTCAATGCATTGCTGACATGCTGTCTCTTGATGGCCTTTCTTTTTTCTTTAAGCTATTCTCTTGCACCCTTCGGGGAGTAAGTCTCAGCAGTCCAAACTGATTCCTCCTTCTTTCTGGGACTTCCCTCTACACATCCTGTTGGCCCCTCTGCACAGCACTCAGGAGCCCGGGCCGGGCTGCCTCCTGGCGTCACTGTTTTCCTTAGCAATTGGGGCCGGCCTGCCTAGCAAGAGGATGGAGTTTTTCTGGCAGTTGTTTTTGTTTTTAATTTTGTTTTTGTTTGCTCATATTGCATTTTAGGCAGAAATTTTTTTTTTTTTAAATCTAAAAGTTTTATTTAATGAAATGATTTATCTCTTGTTGCTCACAGCAGATCTTGAACATTTTCAACTTCGGGAGCTTTTAAAAATAATAGCATAATTGGTTGCAGAGGTCAGAGCAAGATGAATTGATCTTATCGGAGGTCAAATTATCCAATAGGGGCTTACTTGGTTTAGAGAAAAGCTGTAACCTGAACAGAAAGAGAGGAGAGAAATAGAGGAGGATGGCCTTGGAAAAAAATCTAGCACTGATAAAACCCAAAAAGTATGCTTGCTCATAATATGGTTAAGCTATGGTTCTTGTGATGTTTTTGAAGAATAAATGAGCCTGAGGCCTGCGGCAACTCATGATGACCTTGAAGTCTGCCTTCTAATGACTCCTAAGGCCAAACAACTCAGCCTTCAAATGGATTCTTTAGGCTGCTATGTGACTTAGAAAAAAATGAGTTTCATTTTGTAGCAGCCATTGCTGCCACTGAACTCTCCTTTTGAGGCTTAGACTTATTCTTCTGTGCGTCACCTCCTCTGTCCAAATAACCACCCTCAGCATCAAAGACCTTCTTGTCTCCATTTGCCGAAGCATTTTCTAAGCACTGTAGGCCTACAGGCCAATCAAATCCCCTCTGTCCATAATCCAATGTCACAGACTTAACTCTGCAAGGCACTTCTTAACTGCAGGGCTGATGGACTCTGCTAATGCCAATTTTAAATATTATTTGTTGGATCCTGTTGAATTCCATGACCACAAAAAGCTAGGTCCAAGCCTGGACTCAGGTATACTGTTGCACCAAAAAATATTTATGTTTATATTACTATTAATAGAAAAGAAGATTATTATAATGTTATTACCCAGTTGGAGCCTGTTAGGCAGGTACACAATAATAACTCATTATTGGACTAGAAAGAAGCCATTGGCACTAATTCATGAGTTATTCTAAAGCAAGGAGGAACCCAGTATTTTCATATACCTCTATGACATATGTGAAGCTTTCCAATTTTGGTTTAAAATTTTTATTTTTATAGTGGTAAAGCTTTTTTTGAAATGTAATTTTAGGTAGAACCTCAATATTTGGAATGGAAAAGTGGGATTGCTATTAAAGGACATAAGTGGGCCCAAGTTACTACCTGTTAAGACTGCCTCTGATCCCATGATATACTTTGAGGTACAATTATGCAATCCGGGCCTCCATGGAACATAATTTGCAAATCACTGATCTAGATGAAGCCCAACCATAATTGGGTGTTCTCCATTTCCCTGTTTTTTTTAAGCTCTTCTGCTAGATCCATATGCTCTTGAATTCACAAGTCATTAAAACTCATTACAGTTGAGTTTTTTTTTCTTGATATTGGAAGAGTCATACTTACAAACACCAAGTTCTTTTCTTTCCTTTATCTTTTTCTTCCCCTACCTGCCCCCTGCAGGGTCTCACTCTTTTGCCTAGGCTATAGAGTACAGTGGCATGATCATAGCTCACAGCAACCTCAAACTCTTAGGCTCAAGGCATCAGTCTGCCTCAACCTCCTGAGTTGCTGGGACTACAGGTGCAAGCCACCATGCTTGGATAATTTTTAAAATTTTTTGTACAGAGGAGTCTTGCTATGTTGCCCAGACTGGTCACAAACTTCTGGCCTCAGGCAATCCTCTCACCTTGGCCTCCCAAAGTGCTAAGATTACAGGTGTGAGCCATCAGGCCCAGCATCAAACACCAAGTTTTTAATCTTGACCACTTGGATTAAAATCTTTCTAAAATAAATTGTATATTTCCTAATACTCTTAAACAGTATGCTAAATAAATATTCATTTTTCTTATCTTAAAATTCATTATTTTAGAATCTATAATATATTCTATGATACTAGATAATTAACACAGTAGAGTAGAAAGAGCATGGGCTGTGTAGTCTGTGGTGTAAAACCCACTGAACAGCTATGTGATCTTAAGCAAATAACTTAACCTATTTTAGCCACTTTTAAAAAAAATTTATAATATCAGAATGATACCTAATTTGTAGAATGACTATGAAAATTACTTAGAATAATGCCTTTCACATGGTAAGTACCAAATAACTTGGTGGATAGGGAGAGGAGAGTTGATAAAAACTGCTAGCTGTCTACTCAAATCCATATTCCCCATTAGGGACTCAGTTTCCCTGGTGGGGATTACCTTCACCACCTTTTCAGGGCCTTCCTTGAATGGGACTGTAGTGCAGTCACCACCCATTTTTAACTAGTACCAACACAAAAAGTTGACCCCTTTCTCTTGAAGACCCAAGGTGTTTTCCTCCTCTGTTGTCTGAGTGTGGTGAAGCTCTATGAGGCCAGACATGTGAGATGAGGGAGACACAGTAATACAACAGAGGGAGAGGACTAGGAGAAGGATCACCTGCTCTTCAACTCACTTGTGTCCTCAAGACCAGCTAGAGTCCAACTCTCATGTGTGCTGTTTCCACCAAACAACAGATTGGTGGGGTACT